GTTAACTAATTAAGAACCATGCCATCAAGGCGTAAACCACATTTTCTTGAACACGTTTCTAGCTGGAGGTGATTTGTCAGCTTCACTCCCCGGCCGATTTATTCCTGGGGAAAGAACAACCGGTACTCATTGGATAGGACTTTGGGTGGACCCCAGAGCAGGTGGGAAGACGTGGAGAATTGAAAATTCTTACTCTCACATTGACTCATATCTGACCCCTTCATCGTCCAGCCCGTAGCCAGTCGCTATACCGACTGCACTATCCCGGCTCCCCTCCACATGCAAAAGCAATAAATGTCATAAGCAATGCCCGGTTTTCGCTCGCTGGTTAAATGACATTTTTGTATAGTATTATACCTAGTTATTCTGTCTTTGCTTGGATACTATATATATTCTTTCAGGAATAATTCTGTTATTATGCCGTTGCTAGGATAATGATTTCCTCAGACAACAATGCTGTTATTCTGTCGTTCCTTGGATACTAACTTCCTTCGACAATAATGCTGTTATTATGTCGTTGCGTGGATACAGGTGTCCTTCAACAGAAATTCTGTTATTCTGTCGCTGGTTTCATTGAATTCGTTCGAAGATAATATTGTTATTATGTCGTTGCGTGGATACTGATCTGATTTACAAGGCAGAAGCCAATTTAATTCGAAAAAACAGAATTAACTGAATTTAGTAGCATTTGGAAGGTCATCATCTCCAGTAAGAGATTAAGCAGATCAGGAAGTGAGGATATCGGCCCAGGAGTGAAATAGACCAGCAACTTGAAACGCAATTTGATAACGGTAAGCAAACTGAGAGTGTGGCAAAATTTTAGACGACAGAAGAAATTTTTGATCATTTTGTAATTGGATTTACTTTTAAAAGTAATTATTACGATTGCACCATACCTGCATTCATAAAGAATATATCTTATAATACAATAGATTAAGAGATCACTAAAAGTGAAGTTGTCCCTGTCCATTACTGCTCAAGCTCGATGTCACGTAGTCATATGAAGTAGTGGATGTATAGCTGAACCATTTTTGATGTCGACAATGGATGGAGTTGAGTGCTGAGCTTCACGCCCATGCATAATTATTTTCGCGGAGAGAGTCACCGGTACGAATTGAAAATTAGGCTGTGTGGGCCCCAGAATCAATCTGAACTCTGTCAACGAATCAGTAAATGATTAAATTACTGTACGGTCTCGGCCCTTAGGCCATCTGCAGGAGCGAATGGCGAATTGTTGGAAGAAATAATGTTTAGAGTTTTATTACCAATCTTGTACAAGCTGTCGCAAATAAAATTACTTGGGACCTAATTACATCTGAAATATTAGAATGGCACAGTATTTATGAGCGACATAGAGGGTTCAGGAGATCACAATGACTTCGGTGCCTTCTATATATTTACAGGCTTTCGGATCTGGTTATGCAATAGAAGTTTGTTTGTTTGTTTGTTTGTTTTACATAAGATGTTACATTCGAACTGACCCTGATTTAAATTTAACTTAATCTTGAGTATAAACTTCTACCGTATACATAATTGAACAATTTACTTGCATAGACCCGTAACGTCTGGTTGGTTACTTGTTGCAGAACCCCGTTGCTCCACTGTTGCTTGTGCTTATTGCGGGTATTTATCGAGCCTTTGCCTTGCAATGCATTGGCACGTCACAATATTTTGTTGTCATCAACGTAAGCATGTTGGGCTAGTTTTCATTTCTCTAGCAGAAATTGGGCCACTTTATATTTGTGCTACCTAATGCATACCTTTACAGGCCTACACAGTTGCCGTTGTAACATCTGCCACAATCACATGGAATACTTTTACACACGCTGCTTCGCCTGTTGGGCATTGCCAACTGGCCAAGTTTTCATCAATGTCCCAAGGAGTGTATGTTAATTTTTAAAATTATCATAACATTGAAGTGGTTCCCAATGCGTCTGAATTTATGGGAAATAGCACTGAGGTATTGAATACTCACGGTGTCATGATATATTGTATCCCAAGGAAAACGTTTGGTTCTCCCTGGTTTTCATATGGAATGAACGACTTCCTTTAATATTAGATATGATATACTCGTATTTTCTTAATTTCTGTGTTCATATCCATCACGTGTTCAACCGGCAAATATGAGTGTTCTGAGGTTGAAGGTTCGATACAGAGTCTATTTCTTATGACCTGTGAGATTTCTTCTACTGGTACACTGGTGAATGGACGGACAACGGCAGTCTCCGTTTTGATTTTTAATGTCCTGTATTAATTCTATGAAGTATCCTGAGTTCTTCACGATGGAGTCTGTATTGCCAACTAGAGGACGAAGGATCTAAGGGAGGACCTGTATGCTAGGGAACAACAGGGAGAATGAATACAGCTAACTATTGGTTTAATGGAAATGTGTGGTTTGTATGTCTTTATAGTCTACAGACATGGTGTGGTTTAATGTAGTAAGGTGACTTCTTGTCTGTTTAGTATTGGTTTGTGTTGATAGTAAAAAGTAAAAAGAAGGGATATCCCGGAAACAGGCCGTGAAAGCCCATAGATTTGCGTGGCGTCGAAGTTCCCACATTTTCTAGACTATCGGCTGGCAGATGGCGGTAAGGCTGTCAGCCTTACGTGCCGGCCGCCCTGTACCCCCAAGGAAGATTAGTGGTACTCATTTCTGCTAGACGCAGAGACGAACCCAGGGCCAGAGTGCGGCTGGAAGGATTAGGTAAATTAAAAAGAAATCCAATAACATCATCGCTATTCGAACACACAACTTTCCGGTTTGTAGCGTAGTGCCCCAAACATCTACGCTACCGCGTGTCTTCTTATTTTATAGTAGTCTGATTTCATAGATTCTGGCTGTTAAAATATTCATGGCAATAGGTGCAAGGCTTCAGGTGTGTGGAGATACTTTAGTGTTTGCCTTACCACTCACTGATATATTATTTTGGGTTTCGTTTACGTATCCTGTCTTGTGTTGGTTCCGTTGTGTGGACAAAGGGATCAGCTCCTTCGATGGGGACCAGCTATGTAGGCTTTTACACGATGATGGAAATTTAATGCATTTAACGTTATGTTAAAGCAAAAAAGGAAGATGAATAATCCGTGAAAAGTCAATAATTATCCTCCAATATCAATTTGATGCTTACAAACTACTTTAAGTAAACGCCACTTCCCTTCTGATTCCTAAAGCAGAAATTGAAATCTCAAGACTGACGTAACGTCAATACTTTGTGATTAGTATCTGCAACGAGGTGTAAGTATGTCCTCGTCTACAACGAAACAGCAAGCATTTGTTCGGTCTACTAGGCTACTTCGCCTGCTTGTCTGTTCCCTGTCTTGCTCCTCGACGTTGAAGAAGCAAGCAACATATTCCTCGACAACATCGGGGGACGTCCACCAGACATGCCCAGTTACTTCCCAGAAAGTGGTGACATGCACTAAGATTTCGCTCATTGAAAGACGTTACCGAATGTGTGTCAGAAGATGCGTCAGTCCTTGATTAGTCTATCACATGGAAGAGAAGTCTTGTATGATGACCGTGGCCTCTGCTCTGGCGACTTTGTTTCCCATCGCACTTTGAAGATTGAATTCTGCCACTTCCCTCCGATGGGTTAGAAGTTTACGTCGCTCCGCGAGAATGGGGGGACGGAATATCTGAACGTAAGATGACGGGCTACGAGCCGGACAGCCGGAGTTCGATTCTCAGCTGGGCTCCTATCATGCCTCCTATCCGACGGCAACCCTGAGCTATTTGACTTTCGATAAATCGGCTGTGGCGTGAAGATGACCACTATAATCCCACTGGCCCTTACGTCCTTACGACATAATGCTTGAGGAAATATACAGAGGGACTGTTATGGCCCAAGGGTTATATACAAGTAGATATGTTTTTTTGGGTAATTTAGAATAATGGTGTCTAGATTTTAAGATTAAGAAACAGAAATAATGAAACGTACCAGGAAGCTTGTGTTTGCAAAGAAGAGTAACAGGCACAACAGGTAATAACACTGACATTGAGGAAGAAGCTCTATGAACTGAAGTGGCCAACAACTTTTCGATAAACAGCCAATAAGTGGACCACACCGACCCAAAATCACGTCAGGATGGGCGGGTGAATACACCCCCGGAACCCAGCGAGTCAGCGAATAGAGGGTACATAAGCTCTAGAGGAATCAATCAAAGAACTTTTTAATATTATTAATTGTCAAGGAGTCCCGCCGTAGGCTATCGCCGAGAGAGTGATTGCGATGAGTAGTTGTTGGTTGGTGATGGCGGCCTGTTTCCTCAGCTCACGTAAGTAGACTTACTTCTTATCCCCATGAACATTAAGTGTGATAATATTAAAGTGCAAACCCCAGGGAGAGAAAGTGAAGACTAGATGGACTAGGTTTACTGAGAAAGAGAGATAGAGTGATAGGATACCTAATAGCAGGGTGACAGGAGTGAACTAATGTGTATGCTACAGGATAAAAACCCACATGTAATGCGAACCGACGAACGTCGCAATTGGTTTATGTATTATGTATATAGCGACATGGGTGAATAGAGTGTTATGGAAATGCGCTGTAATATTAATTGAACCTAGCATTCCCTCAAGTTTTATCGTCTTCCCTGCCGACTCCAGCCTCCCTCCGAATCCTCCAGGAGAATTGCAAACTCAAGCCAAGGCGGCAGATACGTCAGTGATTGTAAATTTATGTGAGCCCCTCCCTAAGTCTCAAAAAGATGGTGGCAGTGTCAGGACACCTCCACGCCCCCTGTCACCACGGCAGAACAGGGACGACTACCTTGATATTGCAGGCATTAAATTCCGATTTCACTGCCTACACAAAATTGGGAAGGTGCCAAACATTTTACAGCAAAATACCTGACGTATGGTACTACTATATTTTATTGTGATCTAATTCATTATTTCTAGACAAGAGAAAATGCCAGTATTCATAGGCCTCTAATGAGTGTTGTGAAATTATTTACAGAGTGAAGATTTACAGCGCATACAAGGAACTACGCTTCGAAAAATGGGATTTCGTTTGCACTACTCAGACGCTTGCACTTCACGTGAAGAGGACAAAGTAGAAGAAAATGGGGTTGAAGAGGTTGCAGTGGACAATACCAGAGAAACTGGAATGGTTCAAGACAGAGGATCGCAACTCCTTTACAAACGAACGTGCAGAGGAAGTAAAGCAGGGACTGTGGAGAGGGACAGGGCCGCCATAAAACGAGCAGCAGAAGCTCGAACCCAGCCTAGGGATCCTTGGACACTAAAGAAACCTGTCCCAAAAGTCACAAAAGAGAGANCTGGTTTGCACTACTCAGACCCTTGCACTTCACGTGAAGAGGATAAAGTAGAAGAAAATGAGGTTGATGAGGTTGCAGTGGACAATACCAGAGAAACTGGAATGGTTCAAGACAGAGGATCGCAACTCCTTTACAAACGAACGTGCAGAGGAAGTAAAGCAGGGACTGTGGAGAGGGACAGGGCCGCCATAAAACGAGCAGCAGAAGCTCGAACCCAGCCTAGGGATCCTTGGACACTAAAGAAACCTGTCCCAAAAGTCACAAAAGAGAGATGCGCGCATATACTACAAGCCGAAAACAAGGCAGCGACAACAGAATATAATACAAAGAATGAAAGGCACATCCTAAGATTTGAGTCAGAGGAGTTCAGAAACCAATACGAATTAAGATTTCTAGAACACATAGGCAAGAAAGTCACAGAAGAAAGAGAAGCTTTGCTGTCAGAAGCTCATAACATAGCAACAGATATAGACACGTTAAGCAAGGACAGAGACTCCTTGAAACTTGAATCGAAAAAACTCCGAGCCAAGTGCAAGGCCGCTGAACTCCTGCAAGAACAATTAAAAGTCGCAAGGAAGCAACGTGAGGATATGGCTAAAGAAAAAATCTATTTCGAATCTACATACCGACGCTCAGAACGTAGTATTAGGGCCATAAGTAAGGTTACGGAGGACCTAAAACTTGAAACAGAAAAACTCAGAGCCAAGGTTAAGGACTGTGTTCTAATGGAAAAGCAATTGAACACTGTGAAACAGCACTGCGAAGTAATAAAGAAAGAGAGAAACGCTTCCATATTTAGGGCTCAAAAATTAGCTAGGGACAGAGGAAACATAAGCAGAGAGATGGACGCCTTATATCATGAGAGAGGAAATCTCCTAGCCCAGATAAAAGACAAAGCACTGCTGCAAAACCAATTAGACGCTACAAGACTGCTTTGCGACAAATTCGAAAAAGAAAGAGACTTTTACAAATTACAATCGCAAAAGGCAGTAAGGGAAAGAGGCGTCATGATTAGAGCTATAGACGCCCTAAAACTTGAAAAAGAGAAGCTCCTGACTCAGTGCAAAAGGCGTGCTCTTTTGGAAAAGCAATTGGCTTCTGTAAGCCACGATTGCGAAAATATGGAAAAAGAGCGAAAGGAATTCGAATTGAGAGCCAAACGCACAGCAGCAGCTAGGGATGCCATGAGAAGGGAGAGGAACTCCCTGAAGCTTGAAGTAGAAACTTCCTATCCCAGCGTTAAGGCGCTGCTCTTTAGGAAGGGAAATTAACCGTTGTAGGAGAAGACTACAGCAGAGAGGAAAACTCTTCAATTCTCGAAGTCCAACACATGGGAACAGATGTAGAGGCCGTAGAGGATGAGCTAATAAACAACCTATTAAATGTTGTAAGAAAAGACGTCTACAGCATGACAAAAGAAATAGATTTCTCCGTATTCGTTGTCCATCACGTGGAAACGGGTCTTGAGAACACATTCGAGGAACTCGACGACGATGCGCTGCTGGAAGAAGGCTCAGACTTGGTAAGAAGGGACTGCGACAAACTCTCGAATGAGACAGACTACGTGGAACTCAAGTAAAACTCATAGGAACGGATGAAGAGGCCAAGTACATGGAACACAACAACGATTCGCTGCAGGAAGAGCTCTCAAAATTGGTAAAACGAGACTGCTGCGATCTCGCAAAGGAGAGAGATTTTTCAATACTAGAAGTCCAACACATGGGAACCGACAGAGAGGCCACAGACGAAGAATTCGACGAAGGCACACTGCTGGAGGGGCTATCAAACATGTTAAGATGAGACTGCGGCGGCAACATCGCAAAAGAGAGCAATTCTTCAATACTCGAAGTCCAAGATATGGTAACCAATAAAGAGGCCAGGGAGGAGGATCTCGTCGATGATTCGCCGCTGGAAGAACGTCAGACTTCGTAAGAGCAGATTGCAGCAACCTAGCAAAGAGAGAGACTTATGTGGAAATCAAGTACAACACATAGGAACTGATAGAGGGGCCACACACGTGGAACTCGACGACGACGCGCTGCTGGACGAGCTGTGAAACTTGGTAAGAGGAGACTGCGGCAACCACGCAAAAAAATTTATTCTTCAGTACGCGAATCCACACATGGGAACGGATAGAAAGGCCACTGAGGATGACTTGGGCGTCACTGCGCTACTGGAGGGGCAATATAACTTTGTAAAAGAAGGCTGCTACTACTACTTCCCAAAAGAGGGAGACTATTTAGTTGTAGAAGGCCAACATATTGGGACAGATAGAAAGCCAACAGTGGAGGGGCGGGACGAAGCTGTGCTTCTGGAAGTGTAATTACAAAGTCCAATGCTAAAATCCGGATGATTAAAAATTGTGGGATGATTTAAACGCAGAAGTTCAAAGTACAGCAGCAGATACAGTGACGGCACAAAAAATAGGGGCGCTTTTGAACTTCAAAGGTAAAGTCTTCAAACTTCAATGTAAGGAGGCTATGGCTCAAGTAACAGTGTAGTGCGACGAACTCAAGGAAGAGGTAGGCGCTCATTTTATATTCATACTTTTCGAATTTACTTCTTGGCAATATGCCTCTTACCAATAGTCATGGAATGCTCCAGAGTACTTAGCCTACCAAGGGAAAAAAAAAGAATTCTGAAATCGCCAATTTTCGACACCTGAAATCGAGCTTATGACCGAAAGCACATCGAAGCATGAAGACCTACAACCAACGAAATTTCTTTAACCATTGCCTATAGGTAAACTTTTTCCCGGTGCTTTACTAATTAAGCATGATGCCATGGTGACATATGGAGGAGTGATTGATAAATTTCCCTTATTCTTAAACTGGGCAGAAGCTGGAACTCAATGGGCGCCTTCACGCCCCGGTCGCTTAACCCTCTGGGAAAGAATTCCTATACAAACTGGACAGGAAGTTGCGTGGACCCCAGAACCGGTCTGGACCAGGTGGAGAGGATTCGAACACAGAATATTCAGCCGTCCGCTTCATAGTCAGTCACTATACCTGCAGTACCCGCCTCTCTAACTACGGCCTATATGAATCAATTTTATCATTATTTTTAACATTGTGTGTGAAATGCATGACTCATGTACTTTGAATTATTTGTATTTTAGATACATATGCATTGTAAAATTTTATTTCAATATATTAATTTATTATTGAAAAATGTCGTAGTTTTCTTAACATTTAACAGATATAAGGAAAGAAACTTCAGTCACGTGAGTGCACAGCTTACCCTCTACCCGAACTATTGTGTTTAGTTCAGTTAAAATAACCTGCGTGGCTGTGAGGACTGATACCTCCACCGTGACCCTGCGTGTCGTAGGATGCGACGAAAAGGAAGTCTGAAATCTGAGAATTAAATTATGATCACAGGTCCCAACGGACTCAGGCCGGAAAAAGTTTGTGCTGGCAAGGTCCAGCAGCATTTATAAAAGACAAACCCGTCCCCTGTTCAGCGAGGGCGCCCCACAAAATCAAGACCTTAACTGTCCAAGTGTAATAAGTATCTGGTCATGACCCCCAGATGGGGCTCGACACCAGGACTTACTGACTGACCGTCAGTCGCAATGTGACTTTGACATCACTTATTTTCGATAGTTAAAGATTATGACCACAACAGCTCCGTTTGAAAAATAATATTGGTCGTGACTATCAAGGAGCTTGTCGCCAAGAAGAACTGATTGACCGCAGACCTCCAGTCAAAAAGTACTCGTAACTCTCACTAATTCAGTTTCGTTAGTGCAGTGGAGTTCAGTGAGTAGCGATTGTTGGCTGGTGATTGAGTTAGTTACAGGACTGTTGCTTATCAGTCCTTGTGAGCTGTTCCTGGTAGGAACTGGTAGCCGAGGCACGGGGATAGTTCTGGAACCCAGAGTAAGGGGAACATCCGCCGTTGGGAGCCGTTACCAGACAAGGACGAGTGAAGACACAGCAGGCTGAGAAGAATTAGTGCGTGTTGTAGACAACTGCAGAGTGTGTGTGAATTAGCATTAGCGCTATAGTTACTTGTACTTACTTTCTGTAAGATTTCAATAAAACAAATTACCAATACAAACCCCATCTTTATTTACACTCTATCACGTGATAATAAGTTGGATCATGTACAGATATAGGTACATTAAAATGGACACCTCATGAAATTGCAGTGCCTATAAAACATTCTCCGCAATCCTGACAGCTGTACTCCGGTTCGCGAAAATCTGTACGTGTAAAATTTCACAACAGAATCATGCACCAAACCGGCACAAGTCATCAGAAGTCATCGGAATCCAAATGTACATGGAGTTTAATAAGAAGATGCCATGCATAAGAAGCATAAGAGGCTTTAACTTGGTGGCGGTCATGTCCAGGACTATCAAAGTGACTAACTGCCGTTTCGGAGTGACAAAATAAGTTAACGTATAATCTGCTGTAGAAGTCTGCATTGATAGATGTCCTGTGTGTAGCTTGCACCTTGCAACATTGTGATAAAACGACTAAGCTTGTATGGTGGCCATAAAGTACAAACGCTCTTACCTTGACACAATGTGAGTGCAGGTATCCTGGCACGAAATTACAGTGTAGCAAATGTGGTGAATATTCCGAAAGACAAACCCCTCCTCTCGTCGAAAAGGAAGACCTCATTTATAAACTCACAAACGGTCTTGGAACGAATATAAATTAGGTCATGAATATCGACGAGGCTCGAAAGAAAGGACGGCTCTGCTGGCGAGGCCCACAGAAATTTACTGGACTGGACTGAGTCGTGAGCCGGGAGTCAGCTGTCGCAATCGGTGGTTAACTGTTGCCACGGAAGCAGAGGCACTGTTAGAAGCCGCTACAAAACAAAGTAGAAGAATGAAAGTCTTGGTGCTTGCTGTAGTTAACTTGCAGAGTTTTATAACTACTTTAATTTATGCGGGGGGAGAGGTTGTTCCAATGACGAAGTTTTAGAGCACACTAAATTCGATGAATGACTGTTATTTTTCAATTCAGAATGTTCTACTTCACCTCTGCTGTCTGAAAATGTAATTATTAAAAATACTAGCAAAATAATTTAGTCTCTTGTTTTGCATAGGTATGATATTTGGTCTCTCGCTTTAAGGGGGAAACACAGATTAGGTGGCTTTGAGAACAGGATACTTGGAAGATATTTGGATCGAAGCAGAAGTGACAAAAGGTTGGATAACATACATAATGATAAGATTCATAACTTGTACACCATGTCAAGTATTAAAACGGAGCACATGCGTGGTGAAAAGAGAAATGCTTATAAAGTGTTGACAGGAAAATCTGAAAGAGAAAGACCAGTTGGAAGACGTAAATGCGTGTTAAGGAAATGGGACGGAAATGTGTGGACTGGATTTATCTGGCTCGTGGTAGGAATTAGTGGCGGACTCTTTTGCCAACACGGTAAAATACTGTCACGTGTAGGGTGGTACGTGTGACGAAATGACGGGTTCTACTTCGGATGATTGGGTTTATTAGCACTTCGGTTACAAACTCTATTATTCATATTTAAGTTACAGCGCTATCGCCGGTTTACACATACTTCATCATTCACTGTTACACACATAAACTAGTCGTCTCCTGGTAACGGATCTCAACACAGAAATTAGCTCTTCAAATAACTCCAAATATTACACATGAATACAGTCTTCTAATCACAATTAAAACCTCGCAGGCCGGCCTCCTGTATTCTTCTGTATTCCTGGTTCCAATTCGCTTCGCCGGCTTAGGACTGAATTTACTACTCAGAATTCACTTCTCTCATAAGCCTTCGGCACGGACCACACAGAAAACACAACCCCTCTTTTGTTGTAACTCTTTCACCTAACCGCTGCATAACAACGGTTGTGACATGGACTCCAAAGAAAGCCAGTCACGTGATAGCCATCTCACCAGCCCATTGGCGCTCTGACTTTCGCCTATCAAGGTACTATAAACATTCATCCCATTGTCGACTGCTCTTAGGTTCGGGATTGATCATTGAGTAAGGAGTGACGTCGACGAGTGAGAATCTGTTCAACAAGATTCGAGATTGGATTGCGCGTTACTGAGTGAATTATTGTTGTGTCTTAGGCAATATTGCTTGTGGATTCAGTGCGGGCAGTGAGTTGTATCTTACTATCTTCTAGTCTTATAGATCAATACTCGTCTGGGCTGTTGCATCTGTAAGTGTCGAGCCAGAGACGGCTGCCGTCCATGTGCGGGGGTACCAGGCATTCTGGGCCGAAAAACGTGCCGCTCTAAAGGCCGAATCTAAAGAAATTATTAAGCAGTGC